ATCAATTAGGAATAAAGCTAGTGATACAAGTCAATGTATAATGAATCAAATATAAGTTGTACGACTTGCAAAAAAAAGAATTGGAATGGAATGATAAATAAAAAAATGCATCGAGCACATTATATGAATTAATGGTTTTATTCTGAAATCAATTATTGAGGCAAACGTTAAGAACAAAGAAAAGGTCATAGTTCAATAGAGGATTGGAAGATAATTGAAATGACTCGGGGGTACGATTAGAATAGAAAAAGGGATAAAAGTGAGAGACACTCGGTTAAGGGAACAATGGCGATGAACGACAATGTTTCGGACAATAAAAAAAGATGCAAGACCGCGGTAGGAATCCGTTCGCGAGTTGCTTGTTCGTTGAACGACAATTAAGCGAATTGCACACTCGAGCGAATCCAACCCTTCCATCTCTTTTCCTCACTTTTGTGGTTTCTTCTTTTTTTTTTTTTTTCCTTTGCGTTTTAATGAAGGACCCTTCATCCCGAGAAAAGGGAGAGCCTCCGTCGCCCCATTTTTCTTATCCGACTTTCGCCGCGTTGCCTCTTATCTACACAGCAGACCCGATTCAAGGACTCAACAGTCGAATTTCCTCCCATCGTCATTCTTCATTTCCAGTTTGGTGACAATTTTAGTGCATCGGATTTTCAATGACATTTCGCATGATCGATGCTACTTTTTCTTGTAAATGTGTATGGAACCCGCAGTGTATAAATTACGTTTAAATACTTACACTGTAGAGGAAGAGATTCGTCTCATATTCCGCCTTCTTCTCGGAATTTCCACCGCCCACCATCGAGTCCCCATCTCCGCCGGCGCCGCCGCCATCGCCTGTAACAGAAACAACATTTTCCTATAATCCATCTGTATTTGTTTCAAAAATAGAATTCTACTAAATGCGACAAAGGATGATAAATTTGCCTAAAAAGCTTTCAATCAATTGCATTTCAATTCAGAGATGAAATATTTGCATTTGGTTTACGATTGAAAAAATGCAATTATAATTTTTAGGACAATTCATATGAATAGAAATTGGAAGATCGAAACGGATCAAACCATGAAAGTCTGTTTCTCGAGTATCCGTCTAAAAGGCGGACAGTCACGGTGAAGTTTTAATAGAAATACGAAGACTAAAGTGGGACACGGTTTAGTTAAAAAGTCTTAATAGATGTCGAGGGGGAAACATGGCTGATAGATTCTCTAGTTTGTTTTTAACTCCAGAATTGACTTTTTAAACCGGCGATACTTTCCTTCCTTCTTTTTCATTACTTCTATTTTCGAACGCACCAATTGGAGTTCGATCGGAATTCAGTCGTTCCCCGCAGCGGAGCAATTAAGAGTGAAACAGGAAAATAGATATTCTTTGTTTCATCGGTGATGTTCAGAGAAAATTAGACTATTTTGGGTCCCAACAATGAAGAATAAAACAATCTTAGATATCTTCTTTTTATTAAAACATATAAAATAAAGAACTACATTTTAACTACAAGAAATATTGCATATATTAATTATAACAAATATAGTGATGTTAAAAAAAATTGAACAATTGTACTGTTTTCAATATTTATACGTAACAAAAATAAATGACAGAATCTTGGGTATCTTTTTCTTATTAAAGTACGTAAAACAGAAAACTGCATTTTAAATAGTATACCAAATATTTACATTCCTTCTTCTTCACGTTTAGCCATTTAGAAAAAATTCTGAATAGGAAGAAACTTCCCGGTGTCTCTATTCTCATTCGAGCTGGTTGCACGTTTCATTTCAGGTGCATAAAACGTTTCTCATGTTACGACACCTTAGACATAATATCTGGTATGTATGAAGCGATAGTAACGCGAAACGGATCCGCGGATACGTAAGACTTGTGTAAAATATCGTTCAGACTCGGTGGGACCGCGTTAAGAACGATATTACCTACATCCCGGGATGCACGCGTTGCTGCTGTTCATCCACGCGAAATTTATATCTGTGTTCGGTCCACCGCCTCCGCGATAAATGTAACGCGACGTATGCGGAATAGTGCTTGGAAATATAGGTTTAAAATACATTTCCTGTCCGCTAGATCTATCTTCATGAAATCAAAGTCTATTATTATGAACATCACACCTTGAATTACTGCTGCATTTCGAAGGTAATTAATTTACTAGCGTTTCGAGTTAAGCATTAATTGACTTATTGCATGATTTATTAATAGACTGTGGGTGTTCATTTATGGGATTTTTAGGTAATTTAAAAGAAACACAACACGTGGAGAAATATGGAATTTTAAAAATAAAATAATTTACTATTCAGGGTAGCATGAATTGTGGTTAATCTTGGCCAATTCTAAATCTGTTGATTATAACTTTTTGTTTGCTATAAAATGTCTGCTCTTCTACTTCGTTTTCCTATTCATGTTTCTTTTTTATTAAACTGACATAAATTGAAAAATATGCATAAATTTTAATATATATTTGAAGGTCACATATGTCCTATCACAGTGTAGATTTTTCATACTAATTGACACATATGTAGTTATCGATATCTCTTGATATCCATATTATATTTCTGTTTCTCAAATTAATCGATGATGAGAAAGGTACACTTCGATGAGGGATGATTATGAGATCCTCAGGTAGGTGGAGGATCTCGAGGTTGAAGAAGCGCGGGGGGGGCCGAACCGACCGTGGAACAATTAAGAATGATTCGATATTCGAATCGAGCACCGCGAACTAACAACCGCGAGTCGCATTCGAACGAATTAAAAAAAACTAGGCCGGTCAATATTAACTTGCTGATTCCTTTCCTCTTTGTTCCTTTGTCAAGCTGTGTTCGCCGGTTTCGCTAATTGCACACGGCTGAAAAACATTTAATTTCCCTCAGCTCCAGCCTCGTTTTGCAATTCAAATAATCTACTGTTTCTTGCTTAACGCTAACGCGTGTTTGATTGTTCAGAAATAATTAAAACGCGAATTCAGATATCGCGTAGAAATAAGTTTATGTCCGAGCAAGCAGTATTCTACTTTCTACACTCCGGGACTGCAGTGGTGCTGAACAGTTTTGGCCGGACGACGATAAAGCAAAAGGGATGCGAGAGGAATTGGCATGAAACGAAACGTCAGAGAGGGATTTTAGAGGCAACGCTGATTCAGCTACTTTATCTCGACTGGTCCTTTTTGTGTGTTTGGGTGCAGCAGTTTCACGGGGCCTAAACAGGACACGGGGGAACACGCTTGCATCCAGGAACGTGGCTACGATCGACCATGTACATACCCTCCCCACAGAGCCCATTCTACCTCGAGCAGACTTCTTCGATTTGCTTTTACCGACTCTTACTCGCCTTTGTCGTATGGATTTCCCGCTCTCCCTATCCCGTCGGTCAACCTCTTGAGATTTTTCTTTATTCTACAGATTCCTTTTGAAACGATTTCTAACTGATCCCTCTTTTGTATCTCCTATACGTGTTTCTCAAATGTCAAGCTTTTGATTCACTTTGTATACCAATGGAATCATAGAAAGAGGATTGATATATTACGAGTCGATCTGTAAAATTTATAATCTTTAAGACTTGCGATAAACAATAAAATACTAATTATTTGCTGTACTGAAAATTTAAATAATTCTTAAGAAAACAAGTGATACTAATAATGAGACTGTTATTATTTTTTATGAGAACGGTTGAGTTTTGACCCATGGTCCCTTCGACACTTTTTATCTTTTTGATGCGACGAATACAATGGAATAAAAGAGTTTTAACTAAAAGTTTTGAAAAGGTCAAGTTCAAGGAGAATTTTGACTCTTTTTCACAGATCTTCACCGATCCGAAGATCTAGAATGCGCCTACGACTGCAAAGATCAAACATTTCTTTGCACCCTGTAGAATCCTGGCAGACTGCTGGATTCGTTAAATCTCATCTGAAAGCTTAAGAGAGATTTCTGCGGTACTTCTCAGTACAATTTCGAGCCGACGGAATTAATCAAGTTCCGAGGTTGCCGGGGCGTTGATTAATTCGGGTAGAAGCTGGAGGGAACAATTCCATACCATGCGATACACCCCGCCTTACGGTTCATGGAGAAATTTAGTTACTACTTCTCGTCAGGTGCGCTTTGACTTGGCAGAGACGGTGAGCACGACGCGACCCGTAGGCAGTAACGCGGGGAGACCGACGTACAATAGGATCTTCCAATTTGAAGCGAATCACTGCGCGAAATCAACTGCGCCGCATTGTTCCCGAGGCTCTATGTACTTTGTGTCACAATTACAAACTGGGAACTTTGCACTAACCTAATCTAACCAGGATCACTTGTGCCATTTGCACGATCTTTTCATTTAACGAGAACGAAAATTAATAGTAATTTAAAGGAGACGGAGTCACGAAACTAATAGAACGGACACTTTGGAATGCTGCCAATGATTTTTAATTTTATACATACGATGATTTGATTATATTAATTTTACGATAGGCAATGCTAACATCTAAGAGTATGTTTAAAATTTAGAAATTGACAAGGTTTGACAACGTGCATGGACTTGGACAATTTTCTTTTAATGACGTCGTTTATGACAAATTCTGTCGTTAAAAGTAAAATTGAGACTGTACAATTTTTTTTTGTCGTAATTACTGCGTTTTAAAGAGACCTTTTACACAAATTTCGTTCTAGCACAATCTAACTATAGGGAAACTTGAATCTACAATGAAATTCCACCTCAAACGTGATTTTACCCACTACACAATTTCGCTCTAACACGATCCAGCCCTCATGCACGCAATTTTAATTAAAGCCCCTGTAGTGACCTCAGGAATGGCCAATACCAGCCAGAAAACAATGAAAATTAACGGGTCTCTTTATAAGTTCTTTCGCTACCAATTTTATTTGTTTATAGAATGTTTCGTTTCTTTGCATTTACAGGTTGCTGATTATTCACTTATTGTTAATTTGGTTCAAAATGCTCTTAATAACCAATGAGACTTGACATATCTTGATTGTAACATGACAATATCTCAGTTCATATAACGTCGAATTAAGATTCGAAACGACCAGTACAATGAGGACGATCTTTTATAGAAAGACGGAACAACGGCAACGTAGTTTAATTCGAATATTTACCAGTTTCCTATTATTGGCGAGATCGCGATACATTTTAATTAGCTCGGGGGAACTGGCTCGCGAACTTCCGCCGCGTCGAAGGTACCTGTATCGCTTTTAATGGCAGCCACTATTGGGAGAGTGCATAATGGAAGGAGCAAACACGATTAAAATAATTAGCGATGCACCGAGACTCGATGCACAGTTTGTCAGTCCGGAAACCGACTAAATACGGGCTTCGGTTAAATGGCTGCACCGCGGCTCCTCGTTAAGGACATTAGACGCTCCTCCTGCGTCCTGGATAATTACGATCTCCAGCCCTTTCTCTTTGTGGAAAATCAATTCTCCTTCTTCTAGTCAATTTAGCTCATTGTTCTGACGTACGACGTTGTTTTTAATGTGCTGCAGTTAAACGTTTTAGTAATTTCCTAGGGAAAATTGTGATCTATTTTTTTTATTTACGAGTTGTTTCATTTTTGGTATATATATTTACTTAGAATATTTCTTTTAATAAACTATTACAAAATGAAAGAAAGAATGTCCAAAAAACTTTTCTAAATAAAAGAAAAAAAGAATGTTTTAATGCAGGTGAGACATGATCCATGCGGTTAGATTGGAGTTAATTAAACATAGGAATTCGAGGAAAATATGAGGCCAATTGCGTTGCGGTCAATATTTAATATTAATTCCGGCCAATTTGCTCCGGATGAGGCTGATCGATTGTTTAATATGCGAGTGAAATATGGAAGACAGCATGTATA